CATTCCATATATGATGGAAACGCAATACAATCTTAGAATAAGATCATCTTTTTATCAATTTATTGATGGTTTTAGAATTAAATTCCATTGTAAATCAATAAACAACCAAAAAAAAAAAAAAAAATAAACGAAGTTCGGGTGGAATAAGAATGGTCAGGTGGAATAGGAATGGAGAATAAACTATATATTACATAAATTTGTAGTATAGAATAAAAAATTTTTGTTCTTAAGATATTAAGTTCTATTCAAAATTGAATTGTAATATAGATCCTAAAACTATGTAAAATTATTATAAATTTAACTCAATAATAAAGTCATTTGACAAAACTTGTTTAGAAATTTATTGTGAAACTCACACCTTAATATTAATTGAGATATAAATAATTATAATTATATAGTATTATTCTGGTTAGAAACATGTGTATGACCTTAGCCCTAATATTAATTGAGGTATATATAATTATAATTATGTAGTATTATCTATGGTTAGAAGCCCAAGTGTGGGAATCCCATACTAAAATTAATTGAGGTTTATCTGACTTTAAGGTTTATCTAACGTTAACTTAATATTTATTGAGATTTATATGATTAATGACTTATATGTAAGACCCACGCATTAAAATTAACTGAGGTTTGTTCGTATAATTATATAATATGATATTTTAGATTTGTTTCTTATTCTATTTATTCTTATGATTAATTTGATATTTAGTCCATTGAGTATTTACTAAGGATTTTTTCAAAGTACAATAAGTATTTATTGATAATTTTTTTAAAAGTCAATGAGTATTTAGTTGTGAATTAAAAAAAATTGTTATTACAATAATTTTTATATAGTTAATATGTAGCATAGTCTTTGTTGGTTATTTTTATATTGGTGAAACCGTGTGATTAGTGTGTGATTGTGGACAGTATTTGTGGTCAAATAACATTATAAATAAATTATGAAGAATAAACTAGCATGTATTTATTTGTTTATATTTGTGGAGGTAATTAACTGTACAATAAATTTTCAATTAAAATAAGACGTTATTATTGAAATCTAAGTTCAAAAACTTTGTTCCTTTTTCTTTTGGTATTTATTTACAGTTAAGATGTTCAAAATTAATTTTCAAATATTTTAAAAGCTAATATCTTTCCTTAATGATCTTAAGGATTTGGCCTATTAAATCCAAGCTTTGGAGTTTCAACAAAAAAATTTGTTTCTCTAATAAAGTAAGCCAGTTTAGTAGATTTTTTTTTACAATAAACAAATATTCTTTCTTAAATTTAAAATTTTATCAAGGCAAAATTATTTTCTAACATTTAAATGTTTATCACTAACAAGTTCAAAAAAAAAACAGCTTAAAAAAAGTTGTTTCTCTAATAAAGGATTTTTTTTTCAACAAATTGTTACCATTGAAAAGATGGCTGAAAATATAGAATTAGGACTTTTATGCTTCAGCCTTTTCCGATTAATTTGTTTACCTTTCTCCTTCTTCTTTGCGTCAGTACGGATCGTACATTGTAAAATTTAGAATTCAAATGTTCGACTTTCTGATTCTTCAACTTTGCATGTCAGGTGGCTGAACATATCTTCAACCACCATCCATGTTTGCTGCTGATAAGCTTTATCTTTTGTAAACGTATCTTACATTGAACTGGTCAGAGAATCTTTAATTTCCTGATATATCATATGACAATCCTTTGCTGATGATCAAACTTAGATAAAATACAGAAAAGTCAATGACGGCCAACAAGAAGCTAGCAGACGCCTAGTCTATAAATAACCATCTCATTCTCACCATAACACAAACCACAAACAGAAGAAACCATCTCATCATTCTCACCATACCACAAACCACAAACAGAAGAAATTAAGATGGCTTCAGAGTGTCAAGGCAAGAGTTCGTGGCCAGAGCTCCTTGGAGCAAAAGGAGAGGATGCAGAAGCAACCATTGAGAGGGAGAACCCTGACGTCGATGCTGTGGTTGTGCTGGAAGGGTCGGTTGTGACAGCTGACTTCTTATGCACCAGGGTTCGTGTTTGGGTTGATACTGATGGCGTCGTTACCAGGGTCCCAGTCATTGGTTAAGCCACCGCAAATTTCATAGGGAATGTCTTCCTACTAAAGATGATTACATATGAATAAGATGCGATTTCTCTCCATATATTATTTCGTGATTTGTCTCTCTATCTATGTACCTGTTCTTCATCTATGTACCTGTTCTTCATTTATGAGCATTGTCTTTCAAGATTTCAGCCTAGACTTTACATGAATTTGTCAGTCTGAAGCTGAAAATTCCTTTTTCTCCATATAAGAAGGAAATAAGCATATGAACAGTCCCTTAACTTTGATATAAAATGCAATGTCACCCTTGAAATTTGATGCCCATCACCACCGGCTG